GGTGGGAGCCCTCGCCTCTCGCTGGCCAGCAGCGGGGTGGGGAGAGAGGGGGCCGTGCCGCTTCGATTTCCTTATAGATCCCGCCGGTACTGCCATAACCCTAATGAAAGCAGTAAGCAGTTAGGTATTAAGGGAGATTTATGCAGGGATGCTTTTAACGTGGAGGAATGGATTTTGCAATGCATACGGCACCTTCTTTCTAAAGGCAATCAATATGGTTACGAACAGCCGTTATAAATTAGATGGTTTAAGCCAGATAGGGCTTTTTTTACGCCGGGACGTAAATCAGGGGCTCTCTGGCACGGCAGGGCTGTAAATCTGCCCGCCGCGCTCCTGCGCCCGCCTTGCCGGAGTCGTTTCTGTTCTGCCTGCTAAACTCCTGTTTACCCAGGGCCATCAACATCGCTCTTCCTCGCTGTAATTTTGCACTCGACGGTGGCCTATAAAACGAACCCATTTAATTTCTTCCCAGCCCCGGAGCTGGAAATCTCCCGTGTTTCTGGAGCCGTGCCCTGCCTGCTGCCCCTCGCTGCCCGATGCCACCCCCTATGCCTCATCTTCCCAGTTCCGGAGCCGTGCGGTGGCAGGGGTGGACGTTGGGCAGAGGGTGCAGGAGCCCCTTGGCTGGGTGGGGGGGTGGTTTGGGGGGTGTGTGGCACGGCTGTGCTTCGGGGAGCCCGTGGCATGCAGGTTGAGCCGTATGCATGCAGGTTGTGCCCTGGGAGATGGAGCAGGACCGTGGGACCAAGTTTAGCCCACTGCTGGGGGACACAGGGAGTGGGTGCTGGGAGGGTTTGGCACCTGCTGGTGCGATTTTCCCTCCCCAGCACCCAAAATCTTACCGCCCCGTGCTCACCTCTTGCTTTCTCCTACCCCGGACCTGCTCCTCCGGCAGTGACGGCGACTCGGATGTGGACTCGGAGCTGGAGGAGCGCGTGGACGGGGTGAAGTCCTGGCTCTCCAAGAACAAAGGCTCTTCCAAAGCACTCTCGGATGACGGCAGCCTGAAGGGCAGCAGGTGAGTGAGGAGCTGCCTGGCAGAGGACGGGGTGGGCTGTGCCGGGGGACAACCGGCGTGTGGGGTGGGCATTCATGGGATGTGGCACTCTGTGCTTGTGTGGCTGGTCAGGGAAGGGTTAATACTGGTGAGTGGCTCAGTCTCCACCGGGGACACATGTCCCCCCATGAAAGGGGACCTCCCTGGTCCCCCTCCCCAGCATCCCACCCACTGTGGCACTGGGACCCACCCAGGACGCGAATCAGCATCTGCAGCCACATCTGCCTCCCCGGGGGGGGTCACAGTGGTGGGGTCCAGCCCACTGTGCATCATCCCCCAACTCCAGGGCTGGATCCCCCGTCCGTCCATCCTCCCCCCATCTGCAGCTCCGACGCTTCCCTCCCCGCACCTCTCAGCAAATGCCGACTGCCCACACGAGAGCACATGCCCCGGTGCCCCCATGGCACAGGGCCAGCATGGGGCTGGGACACGCAGCCCTGCTCCTGCTCCCCAGGGAAGGCACTTGCCTGCCGAACGCAGATTGCTTTTATCTAAACCCAATTTCCTAGCAGGGCTCCAAGAGTCCCGGGGGGCTCCCCCAGCTCTGCCAAGCAGGGGGGAAAGATCTGAGCCGTTTTTTCTTAATTGGTTTAATTTATTCAGCGGTGCAGATGTAAAACATTTTGTTATTGGAGATAATTCCACCCTTTCTGAAGTCAGGAATCAAACGCAGCGGCTCCAGGTAGCCGACAATGAAATAAATTGAACGCAGCACTTTAAAGGGGAATCAAAGTGGCGGGCTAGAACAATTCCCCCATTTACATGACATTTTTCCACAATGCTATTTCCCGCTGACGCAAATTACCGAGGCTGCCTCGCCGCCGCACTGCCCCCCCCCTTCCTTCGCCCGCTCATCTCCGTCTCTCTCTTGTCTCCCCCGGTGCGTGTGTGGGGCCGCGGTGCCGCCGGCACAGGTCAGTCCCGCCGGCCGGTCCCGAGGGCGAGGAGCGGCCGGCGTCGGTGTTGAGC